TATGAAGGTATTCCTTACCGACGTGTGACCCAAGGAATTTAAAATCAGCCTTCACTCATCCTCTATGTCTCACTTAACACGTCAAAATTCAAGTTTTTTGGCACAATGCTAACACGAAATTTAAAATATTTGGAAAGCTGATGAGAGTATTACCATCCGAGCCGTTAGCCGACACCCCTCTCCTGCCATATGCAGTAAATGACCGAAAACATGGCCAAGATGAGTTCACATTCTAAACTGTAAAGCAACGACCATTATATTAGACCGTTAAGTATGAAAAGTCCGATTTTTCAAGTAGTAAGTTTGGCAGTCGATATCTCTAACATTTCATTTCGGCAGGTCTTGGCTTTTTTTTTTAAAAAAAAAAATGTACGTCGCCGCTGTTTCAAGCATGCGTTGTGATTTATGATTATCTTCCGGACTGTCTGTTTTAGGACAGTTTGTATGAAATCGTGGATGTCAAAAATTTGTGTTATTTACGAATATGGGTTCCGTCGTGGGACCAGTGCATCACAACTAGCTTGAAACACCAACGAGGTGTTTGACGAAGCTGTGACTAATGAACGCGCAGTGCTTGGGTGGTTCGAAAATTCTGCTCTGGTAATTTTAGTCTCGAAAATGAACCATTTGGGGAATCTGAGGCTAAGGTGAATAATGATGAGCTGAAAAATGTAGAGGAAGCGGACATAACTCGTACTGTGTGTGGATTAGCAGCAAGGTTTGACGTTACTATTCCAACAGTATTGGACCACTTGAATTAAATCGGCAAAATGAAGAAGCAGGCTGCATGGGTTCTCCAGGAATTAAACGAGCGTCAGAAGGGAAGTGGCTCGAGGCTTGTCTTTGTTTGCTGTCACGGCATAAAGACAAGTGATTTTACGTCATATCATTGCATGTGATGAAAAATGGATTCTTTTCGACAGTCGCAAACGTCCAGCACAACGGTTGGATAAAGATGAACCGCAGCGAAACTTAGTTTGGAACCGAATATTCACGAAAAAAGTTAATGGTGTCTGTTTGGTGGCCCAGAGCTGGTTTTATCCACTACAGCCTTAGCTTTATGAGACTTAGTCATTCTGTTACTGCAAATATCTAGTGCTGCCAACTAATGAGGGAGTTTCCGATTAAACAGCCGTCATTAGTCCCCTTGCAGGA